ATTAGGAATAAGTGTACACTTTGATGCAGCCCAATGCAACAGCCCTGCTATGACATCTACATTTATGACACATAATATGTTTAGGTTTTGCTGACAATGATAATAAGATTGTAGTTGTTGCTTGTTATTGTTGGTGTTGTACTGGACTACATCATGTTGAGGTGTTTCTAATTTTAATGCAGTCCAGCACAACACCAACACTAACTATGATCTCAGTGCTACAACATTACTAATTAACACCTCTATGGCACATCATATTGTACAGGTGTACCTGGCCACTGAGTGTAAATCGGTGCTTTGATTTTAAGTAAATACCATTATATGCAATACTCTTGAATTACACAAGCCACAATAACATAAATGAATCTACATTATAATGGAGCGGCACATATAACCTGAGTCTATTTTCATGAACAGCACTAGTAAAAATGAATTGGATTAGAAAATGACAACAGCGAGATCAGTCGTTTTTAACTCAGGAGCTTCATTCAGCCCTTGAGGAATTTTTCCACAGTAAAAGAAAAAAACAACTAACAGACACTTGATCTTGCATTCGACAGGTCACTTTTTTGACATGTTTTCATTCCATCTCTTGTCTGGTACCGCTTAATCAGACCTGATCTTGGGGGAGTACCCATCGTCATGACAACAGGGGGAAGTTTGTTTCTGTGGCGATGACTGACTGATGTTAAGCACAAATCCGAGCGCCTCAAAGTCCTAAAAATGACTACAGTCGGAGATTCGATAAACAGCAGCAGAGCAAGGTGAAAAGTGATAGTAGAAAAAACAACAGTTCTGCAGCTTAGGTGTTTTGTTGATTATTTAGTCCTTTTTGTTGGTGTATATGATTTGGACTCCAAATAAAGAACATTTAAATTCAAGCCAACCAATTAGTATGTTGCAGGAAATTGAAATAAATGGCACTGTACTCACTGAACTGTGGCTTCAAACTAAATGAAAGCATCAAAAAACTGCTGTAGCTGCAGAGAGTCTTTATCAAAATATTTTAAGGATTTATTCTAATCAGTGATTAATGATCCGACTGTGGGGCTTGTGCCAGATCTCTAACTTGCTGCACCAAATGATACACACCCTGGGGTGATTGACAAGAAAGGAGAGTGGAGCGACTGCCCATGTTTCAGGTCAGTATTAGATCAGCACAATCAATGTGGCCCCTGATTCTTTGATAATAATACAGTGGCAGAGGATTTGCGCTCCCCATGTCCCTCATAATACCAAAATCAATTAACACAAGCCTGAGACCATTTTGCTGCAGTGAAATGAAGCAGTAATTAAGCATGGTTGCCTTTGGTTGCTCTGAATCACTGTCATTTAAATCTGTGTGCGTGTGTGTTACTTGTAATGAGAGAATCATGACAAAATAATGAAATAAAAAAAATGATGTAGAAGGATCAGATGGTTCATAATGAATGATGGGTGTTAGGGTTTTACTGGAATTATAACTAATGCTGATAGAAAGATGAGTATGAATGAGTCTAGACAAGGAGCTATAACTGCAAAATGTGACCGTCAAGTGGATTTTAACACTTCAGAAAAAGTTCTGTTAAAGATAGAGGTTCTTGTATTTTTGTTTAAAAACGTTGCTACTGTCAGGAGACATAAACTGAGGGGTAGTGTCACTTCACTATGAACACTGAAGGGTTTGTCCTGAAAACAGTTTCAGGTACTTGATGTACTACACATTCAATGAACACAAGACTTTGAAAGGGGGGAAATCAATTTCATTCTGATGTATTTAGAATTTAAGCAGGTTTCCCAAAGAGAAAGTGACAAGAGTTCATTATTCAAATGCAATTTGAAATTAAATTCACGCAGTTTACAGAGACATACTTGTACTAACTGCAGATGAATACAATAGGTAGTTTGCTAGTTGGCTAGTCGCCCTGGAAGTAGGTTCCTATTAGCAACTCTGAAGTCTGGGACATGTTTATCTGGAAAGCTTTAAGAGGCTTGTGCTGCTAGACCTGAGATACATTGTTTTGCAAGAGTCACATTTTCTGTGTCTTTACTACAGAAACAGCAAGTGTAAAATTAGCACAACTCATTTTCTTTTCAGCTATGCTATAGTCCTTATATGGGACAGTGATGGAGAATGAGAGGATCTGGATAAGGTGGGACCAGGCCATGAATAGCAAAATCACATGGGTAAATCTCTGATGGGCAGAACCATAGCACACCAAGTTGCTGACCCGGGTGGCGTATGATGTCCCGTCCTTCAAATCTTTTCAGCTGGAGCATGGTGGACTGCCCAAAATGCCCACTGTAGCACCTAGTGCTACAATCAGGCGCTGAAACCCATTGTGGAGGCTATCGGCATTGGAATCAGCAGCTGGAGATGAGCACGCCCCTCAACACAGAGGATCGCTTTTGTGAAAAAAGGTGAGCAGACAGGCAGGACCTAAGAAATCATTAGGAGGCCTGCCAACTGCAAAAGACTGACAGTTATCTGTAGACCGAGAGTATCACTCATAGCACATTGTCACAACTACCCTGAGGTTAGACATCCTCCTGGTCTCAGAGTTCAAAACACCATCTTTGTGGAACTGACAGAGCTGTGGGAGGGTCACATGGTGGAAGCGCATGAGAGCAACAGGGCCAGATAAAAAGGACTGGGGGCCAATATACATGCCCATGGACACTAGATGCAGAGGATTTGTGGGGTAATCACATTACAAAGCCTTCTTTGTGTAACCAGAATGGCAAGAAGCAGAGCCGTCAAGATGGCTCTGGATTGGGAGAGGACAGCCATGGCTAGATGTAAAGGCTACCTGATCACAAACTAGGTCTGATGTTGAAAGACCTGAAACACCCGATGATCCCAGGACACATCAATGATGTGTTCACATGCATCTAAGGGTGTATTTTATGAACTATCCTCAGCCAGGTTCAAATGCAATGAAACAATCAAGGAACTTCAATTCATGAAGGTAAAAAAATCCAATTCAGTTCCCAACATTTATTCATTACAATGCAGAATATCAGCACCATTACCTTACACTTAACCTGCACACGGTTAATATTTGTAGTTTGAGATTTTACGTTCATAGCTTAAACAACAAAATCATCATTAGCTTACTTCTACAAAACCACTGCCTTCAACATTTCTCATCAAGACCAAAATCCTGCAACAGACCTCATCTCACCTGCAGTACACAGGGCAGGGGGTCCAACCATGAACATTACTGCCTGTTTCTCAAAAAATAGTACACAAAGTCACTACAGAGCCCCCGTCAAAAATGTCACAACCATCATCTCTAACCTGTCTCACTTTATGTTTGAATGCTTCATACAGCCACCATCTGGTCACAGGTTGTGTCCTACTGGGTAAGTGTCATCTGTACAATGTGCAGTACAGTGTCACCACTCTAACATCAGACTACTACTCATAACTGCACTGCTTATCTCACACAAACCTATGTGAAACAACACATCTTACTATGCATGTGTTCCCTCTGTCCAGTATCAATGGTTTTGTATGTTGTAGTGTCTGAGTTTGGTAAAATTTAATGGAATTCTATTTATATTCTTTAATCTAATGTCATTTTCTTTCCTACACAACCTCATGTTTGTTATTGTAAATAGAATCCTCCCTATGACCTACAGGAATAGTTAGAAAAGGGTAGATTTTGCAATAGCATTTATAAAAAAAAAAAGTAAAGTTTTAGATGTACCAAAAAACATGTCTTTACATGACGACACATCGAGTGACAGACTCATCTAACATCTCCTTCAGTAGGACAGTAAATTTCTTTCTGATCTCATGTCTGATTCTGACATCTGTTAGTCAGTAGTTTCAGCAATCTCTTTGGAATTCACTCTTCAATCTGGACTTTAACAATCACATTAGTTACAATTTTGCTCACCACAGTAGTTACTCCTGTCATTCACTTGAAACTTTCTGCATACAGTGCACTTCCTGGATAAAAACAGCATTTCAGCGTATGTCTCATGTTCTGACAAAGACTTTCAATCAGCTCAGCAGACATCTTGAAAATTTTTGCTGACTGTACAGTGTGGTACAAAATTCTGAGACCACTTTTGGACCTTATTGTATATTCATGTATGTTAAAACCAATTTCCAGCCAGCTGATTCTGCTAATGTTACAGTTTGACAGGAAACTGTTTCCTATTCAAATGTCAATATTCTCCTGGAACGTGTCAGTTTCACATTTTGTGGCTTTGCTCTACCAAGTGACAGCCAATTATCCCATCTTCTCACCAAGAGATTGTTGCATTCCTGTGCCACACTAATTTGTTTGCATGCAAAGCAAATTCATATCATTTGTTTTATTGCTTCAATGGACTGCATGTTCAGACGCCTCCCTGCTGGAGAATAAACATAACAAATAAATAATCAAACAGAGGGAACATGCTTTAGAAAATCGGTAACAGTTGTATTTTGGTCTGAGATACTGGCCTTCAGTGCTTTTCACTGGCCCTCTCTCAAACATCATATGACAAAATGAATCTGTTATTTCTGTGCAGGAAGGCCAATCCGATGGCCCGGGGGGATCAGAAATGCTGTTTGTTGTTCCCTTGGTAAAGTGTTAATATCTCTATCCTCCCCACTGTGTTATCAGCACTTCACTGTGCCTCTGCACCAAACTGCATCAAACCTCAGCCATCTGCAGTGATGGAAAAATCATGCTGATAATGTCTGTTCTTTGTGGAACTGCTATTACATCAGAATTGATTAAAATGCTAACTTGATTAGAGAAAAAATTATTAATATTATTGAATGTGTTATTACAGTATTAGTGAGAATTATTTAACAATCACACACCTTTAAATTCTGGATAAATGTAATATGTACTATTGCTGTTATTTTTACATTTTACATTATTCCTATTTTCTGATCCTCATCAGCATGTCTTTCTCAGCTTTATGCGTGAGCTATGTTAAATCTTCAGCAAAAATATAAAACAATAAAATAAAAGGGGTGAGCTTAATATTTTTATCTCTGGTATTAAATTGTGTACCTCAAACTCCTCTGCGATCTTGGGTCCATCCAGGAACAGCCTGGTGCTGAGACAGTCCACTGGGCCAAAGTTAGCTGAAAAAACACAAAGAGATATGGCCTCAATATCAAAGCAATTGTTTATGACAATGTAGAAAAACCAAAATGTGTCTACTACATGTATATCTTAATGATTTCTAATGTTTGATATCAGAAATCAAACTAAGTCTTAAGCAGAAGTGGTGAAGAAACTGAGAAAAACAAAGAAGCTGTACACTAATTACAACCACCAGTGCTAACAGTTTTTCACTCCTCAAAGCAACAGTTAAGCTGCATTAATCCAGGCAGCTGAATGATACTGTAGCTACTCTGAAGTCTGACTCCTTGAGAAGACATCCTCTTAAACTTCCAGCATCAGTCTACTCCTGCCTCCTGCACATGCTGCTGCTGAGTGTACTTCAGACTTACACCTGCTTACAAATACAGTAAGTTGTTATGCTGATTTCTCCCTCTAACACCAGTCCTTGCTGTTCTGCTGTCTTATTTTTGTGTTATGTAAATTCACCACCTGAATGAAAGGCGCATGATGGGTTCTGCACCGTTCTGCAAAATCTGAAGCATGTGATTGGTTTCCTATGAGTAAGACCCATGCACTTCCAAATACAACAATTAAAAACATCTATCAAATGGCTGAACTTTGTTATGAGTGTTACTGACTTAAGGTTGGCTCATGCTAATTTCAAGCCCCAGTAATAATATAAATGAGAATGTGTGTGTGTGTTAGAAACCAAATGTCATGATCCCACACTTGTTCAATATAAAAGATCCAATTTGATAAAATGCACATTTCATTAATTAAACTTTCAAACAAAACAATAAGTTGTTTCCTATTCTTAAACCATTATGATGATCTATACACAAACATCAAATCTGCCCACTCACAGGTAAATTCCTTAAATTCCTGGAACACCTTCGGGTACATGGCTGCTGACATCACATCCTCAGGGGTGATCTCATCACTATGTGCGGTTCGGAGCCCCTCCTCCAGGGCCTTGAAGTCCATAGGTGGCAGAGAGGCACCGGGACGACCCTCAATACGGGGGAGAGACTTCAGCACCTGAGATAGGATGGTACAAGAGGACAAAAGGAAGGAAGATAGAAGGGGAGGACACAAGAGAGGTGAAGAGGATAAGGGCATAAAAAAGAAGAGAGAAGGGGAAACAAACAATTTGCCAAGTTGTTATTCAAAGTCATATAGTCTTTCTGAATGTTTTTCCATTCATAACATTCCCATGGGAGTCTGAAGCATGTGGGATGTACAAAGTGCTGGTAAAACCTTCACATCGAACTTCACAACTATACGTCTGGATAAAAGCTGCAACCTGTCAAAGCATTAAAGTGACACAGAGACTTTGGGTGGGAGGAGGAAGAAGATACGGATAACATGGGGAGCTGTTTTGAGGAATAGAGAAAGAGAGAGAAATACTTGAATCAGAGAGAATATAAAACTTATTAATGCAAGTTATTTTTAAATTTGCATAAAAGTGGGACCACTGTTGTGTCAAGATCTGCAGTGATTTCCACTTTTGTTCCCTCCATCTCTCCCACTCACTCTCAATTCATCTTTTTCTCTCCAGTAAAGTACCATCAGCCCATCAAATGACTGCAGTGGTGCCGCATGTGACACATCATCCTCGCACTTTCTTGTAAGTAGCAAAGGAGAAAGAGAGCAAAGAAGAAAGACAGAGAAAAGGGTAATTGTGTTCTAACGATATGACATTTTTCTTCCCACACAGTTGTTGGTATCTAACAAAACTTGCAGAGACAAATCGATCTGAGGCTACTAATAATGTCTGGTGAAGAGATTATGGCAAGACACAGGCATCTCGCCTAAAGGCCACTGTTTTGTTTTTATTTTCACTGAGTTCATCTGCTCATGATGACACACAGTCTACCCGGGCTCAGAGCAAGGGAAGCAAAGTTGCTGGAATCTCCATACAATTAGCCTATTTATTCTGCGTCAGTGCTTCAACAAATGTTTCTTGGAAAATGAACAAACAGAATAAGCCAATAGCAAAGCTTCAAGTGCTACCTCTTTGTATGTGGGTCTTTTTTTTATCTTAGCTTCAATCAGGATAAAATAATCATCGCCTAAATAGCATGCCTAAACATGCTAAGTACTATATTGGTAATCTTTAGGTGTCTTTTCTCTCATTTACACTTGAGGCATAGTGCTGTGTGTATCAAATTAAACAGTTGATCAGTTCTCCTGTGTGCATACATACTGTGCATACTATTACTATACATATTCATGTTATGTTTTTTAATGTGTGTGCGCTGCTGTATTGTATTCAGTGTGTTTAATATCCTCACTAGCCATTTGTGTACGTGCATCATGTGCATGTGTGTGCATGCCTTGCGGAAATCTCCAGACAAAGGGCCCAGTGCAATGCTATTAGTCACAGAGCTAACAGTTCAAAGATAGCTGACTCATTTGTGTGTGTGAGAGAAAGACACTTCAAAGATGGCATGCTCATTGGACTCCATGCTCATTAACATTGTGTCCTCTGAGGATGTCTTATACCTAAACTGCGTGATTGTTTTAAGTGTGAACCACAGACAGATAGTGACTGAGTGTGTGTGTGTGTGTGTGTGTGTGTGTGTGTGTGTGTGTGTGAGAGAGAGAGTGTCTGCATTAATGAATGAAGAAAAGACTCTTCCTTCAAGGTTATTTGTTCTTTCTCCCAATTTCTCTTTAAACCACACAACAGCTCGCTCCCACTCTCTATTTTTATTGTCACTGATTTTCCCTCTCTTTATTTTTGAGAGCGGGCCTCTGAGGGATGGTGCTGTATTTTTAACAGTAATCTTATTTCTTGAATTCACCTTCTTTCTGATGGCCTTATTCTCTCTCTCTACCCCAGTCTCCCCATCCATCCTCCCACTGTCTGCCTCCTTCTCTCTTTTGTCCTCTTGTCTTTGTCAGTTTCCTCTCCCTTGTCCATTCGCTCTGTCCACCCACACCACAAACGAGCTGAGCGTGACAGAACAAATATGAGAAGACGCCTCAATTACCGCTTTGCGCCTTCCCTATGCATGCAAACTACTTGCATGTATTTGTGACTGTCTGCATGTGAGAGCATGTGATATAATGCTGGAATGAGTGCTTGCTGACTAATTAACGCCACCAAAGCTCCATTGAAGAAACAATACTTGTTCCATGCTGCTTGCATGCAAAGCTATGGCACATAGGGATGCAGATATCTCTCTGTCTTGCATGCAATATGTAACGGTGAGTATATTCCTGTGCTTACATGCCAACAGAACATTTGCAGCTGCTAATACACTAATCAAACTAGAACTTCTAATAACAGCCGAATACACACAAGATGAACAGATGCAATTAAATTTTGCCTCCAGTTAGTTGTCATGAGGCATGCCACCACTACTAACGTAGCTCTAGCTGTTTTAGGAAATAATTTCATTCAATAATATTCAACTTTCGTCCCTTTAAACAATTTTTACTTTAACTTATACAAGTTTTACTCCAATTGGATTTATACTCCAACTGTACCACAAGATATGGTGTGAGTGACAGTAACATTTATCAGATTTATCTCAAACTTGCAGCTTTCACATAAACACGGGCACACAAATGCAAACACTGTGAAAGGAAAGGAAAAATGGTTTGTAGCAAAGCTGAACTCTGAATTTAACTGAATCAGTGGGATGGAGAGTCAATTCTTCAGTAAGCTGTGTGTGAGAAAGCCTCCTGGTGTTTGTGCATTAAACATTGAGGGTGGATTGTTATTGTTGTCATGGTATGAATATCTGTAGGGGAGATTTAGAGGAATACTCTGACTTTTGTGGCTGAGATAAGAAATTGGCAGCATTTACTACATAAAGTAAGGATTGAGGATTTACTCTGAACACTATAAAGCAAGCTACAGTTTTGACACATTGTTTAAATGCTTAATGAATGGTGCAAGCTGGCTGAGCCTCATGTAAAATGCATTGTGCAAAAGCAAAGAGTTGGACTGCAAATATTCCCCTCTACAATACATAGAAGGTAATGGAAGAAAAAGTCAGAAGAAAATGGCCCAAAATGTGAACTCTTGCATTCATGTATGCTAAAGAATGGCCAGTCTATCTCAGCATAAAGTATTTCAGTGCTGACTGAAAATAGAAAATAAAAATGGAAATCTTTGAATGAACACTGAAGATTGCCCCCATCTTGTTTGTTTAACAGCAATGACTCCCTTGCCACATGTTTTGAGAAATATAAGACAGATTGAGAGACACTAATAGAGAGGTAGAGGGTGATAGGTTGGAGAGTGTGTGTCAAAACTGAAAAATCCCCCAGACTGTCAACAGTGGAGCTGCCTGGGAAGCTAAATGAAAAACTTTTGATCATACAATCCTCCAACTGTACGCCAGTGGAGACGGGAGAAAGGACAACTTGATGATAGGGTGACAGGACGACAGGAGTTTGTTTCACAGAGAGGTAAACAAAGAGGGAGTAACTAGAGAGACAAATTAATTCACAAATAAATGGATAGATCAGTTTATAAAATTACCATTTAGCAATGATTTTTACAAAAAGCTAACAATAGAGATTACACTGACACTAATGGAAAAAATTAATTTAATCGAAAATGGGCATAAAAAAGATGAATAATTCTATTTTAATTATCTTTTAGCTTTGGCAGAAGCATTTCAGGCTGTGCAAAAATGTTTACAGATTTGCTGGAGCTGCACGAGTGCATACACACTCACAAACTCTCAGCCACACTAGGTGACCTAATGAGTCTGTTGTTAAAAAGTGCAGACTAGGTATCACACCGGATATTTCACATTTTAAGTGCCAGCCAGCTCAATGAAAATACATGATCAAACACTCAGCATCTGCAGATTTTAGTGGGGAAAAAACAGTTCCACTAGTTTATCTTCTTTTTTATAATAAAAACTACATTCTGAATTTTTTGGGAAGTGTCAGGTATGCCAATGTGTCAACAGGGATTTGGAAGAGTGTGACAAATTTGCCTTTATTCATGCATGTGTGTGTTCATGTGACTCTCCCAAGGAGACTTAAAGCTGTTGGCCCCTGATGCGCAGAGATTGTGTCCCTTGCTGTTTGCAGTAATGAAAGAGGACACAAGAGAGGTAGACAGAGGTAAAGAAACTCAGGAGATGAGAGGACAGAACAATATCACGCTTTTCTTTACCATTTTTAATGTCCTCGTGGGGACTCATAACTGTCAGATGTAACCAAGCATGTGACAGAATTTGTGTGTGTGTGTATGGCACTTGTGTGTACACACATGCTTTTAAATTGGCTCTCCTGCATGTGTTTGTGTAATGTGTTGGTTCATAAAAAGGACAAGTGTTGTAGTCTATACAGCTGTGTATTTACCTAAGTGACACTTTTAAGACCAAGGAAGACAAATGTCAGACAGTCTGATCTCATCATCACACTTCTCTGATATTATCCAGTGATTTCACTGGGATCTGTGTGTAGGTTTTCCTTTCATCCAATGATCACCTTAGCTAAAGAACATTTAAACCACCTTACCTCTGTTGTCTCTCTCTTGACACTCATTGCAGCTTCCATTACGAGTGTCAAGGCCTCGCCTAAGGCTCCCTCAGGGGGATCTCAGATTGGCTCCTACTCCTACTTGCTCTATCCCTATACATCTTTCATCAATGGGGTCAACACCAAAGTCTTTATTAAATAAAGTTTATTCATTGGTGTTAATTTGTGTCTTTCCTGATTGAAACAGGTGTAGATGTTACATTTCCTCTAAACCGCCTTTAAATTTTAATTCATGTTCATGAACTCTTCAGTGGGAATAATTTGAAGTCTCTGAGAGAAATTAAAACACTGAAGGAAAAGGTTTGATGTACTGCGTGTGTGTACGGGAAAACTACACTACCTTAGATCTGAATGGCTCAGGGAATCCTCCATGTGGTATCCCAATGAACCCCTGCAGGAACTCAACCACAGACAGGGGGAAGGATAACTCGTCGGCCCTCTCCTCCACTTCTGCCCTGGTCAGGTTGTTCTGCACCATGAACTGGGCCAAGTCACCCACGATCTTTGAGGATGGAGTCACCTGAGAGAGGAAATAAAAAGAACTGTGTATCAACCTTATGTTGCAGTGGTAATATTGAATCCCTTACTTTGTTTAGGAAAAGAAAGGAAGTGGAGGATGAAGAGAAGAGCTAATCTCAGCTCTGTGTAGCCCTCAGTGAGGTATTTCTATTTCACCACAGGCTGAGCACAATGTATTAGTACAGCTATTGCACACAGACGATATCTCAGTTTGTTTAAAACAAGGAGAGGTAATTATTTCTCTCTGGTATGTGACCAGTGCTTTTTTAATCTGACAAACATCAGGGAAACTCACACAGAGAATCTATCAGGATAATATTACAGTTTCCCATGGTGTAATCTTGCTTTCAGTTTTTTCCCTACAAAACTAGAAGTTGTTGCAATTGTTTGTCAAGCTGCACCCGGTCCTGCTGTGTAGTTTCCTGTCAGGTACGCAGGTAAGAATGCACATCCAAAATGATTTCAACAAAAGAGAAAAGTGGCGACACAGTCTTTTTTTAACCGAATATGCTGTCGACGAAGATTAAGTACCCACTGACCCGGAGAAAAGAGAGGGCCGGTAGAGCAAAATGAGAAATGAAAAGATGTTTACACCTATACGGTCTCTTTAATCATTTGATTTGGCATCCATGAACAAAACTACACAGTCTTCTCTGAGGAAACAGAATAAACCTGAAAATGAAGAGGGAAGAAGAAAGAGCAGGGAAAACATTCATTTAAGTCACATGTATTCATTCTTTCATTATTTATAATGGCATATCATTATGATAATGGAGATCCCTATTAGCATAATGGTGATAAGTGAAGTCTTTTTTGACTGCAAACAGGACACTGATGCAAATATCAATTGCACACATTACTCCTCTACTGTAATAAATGGAGACCCAGATTTAAGAATTCCAGTTCACTTCCATTTAGTACTCAGAGAGAGGGGTCAATTAATGTGACCCACCAACAATAAAAAACTTTGAGTAACTTTGTACTCATCCTCAGTTCATCCTCTTGCAATAAGAACAAGAGGGAGGTGAAAAAATGTGATAACTTTGTGTCACTCTCCTAAAGACCCAACATCTTTCAAATATAAACCTTCTCTCTCATTTTGGGACCCACCAGCAGAGGGCCACTGTCCTGTGTTTGAGCCACACACATATGTGGGGAGCTATCTGACATCATAAGGACTGCAGAGAACAAAGAGTAGGCCCACACTTTGAGATGCCTATTTCTGTGGCACTGTAGTGCTATCAGATGGCAGAGAGAAAAAAAGAGAGAATAGGTGAACAAATATAGATCAACTTAACATTCCCCAAAGAATTACCCGACAAAATAACTTGACACTTGGTGTGTTTCTAAGCGATATTATGCCAAATTATCCAGAGTGAGACATGAAATATATGAATGGGCTCATGCACAAATGCAGTTCTGGGATTACCACAGCCCTCCTGGGGGTTGGGTGCTTGTGAGGCTAGCTGAGCTCCTGGGATCACTTTAGTCTTTGAACAGGCACACTATAACTTGAGTGTGTGTAAGAGTGTTTGTGTGTGTGCGTGCGTGCATGTGTGTATAAGTGCCTTTAGTCTCTGGAGATGACAGGACTACCAATCATCTCTTTCTAACCTGTTGTAGATAGTAAATACCATCAGTGCAAACACAGCAGTATTAATGATAGAATGCTACAGTTTAGATAAGCTGCATACTAAGCATATTCTATATATAGTATATCATTATATCATTGTACTTCCACAAGGCCCAGTTATCCTGACTTGTAGTCCTCCTTGTATAGGTCAACCTTCAAAAACACTGGCTCCTACACCTCCTATAATGCAAACTGTGTTTTGTTAGCTCTTCCCTGCACGGTAAATGCCAACATCTTTCAAACTCTATTCTCCTGTTTTGCAAGGCATGCTTTCTGTTATAAATTTGTACTCAATTTACCTTCTTTCAGAATAATCTACCCAGTATGTGTGTGTGTGTTGAAATGTTAACCCTAATCAGCTTTTATCTGAATTTAAAAAGGAAAATGGTTTAAAATGATTTTGTCAAAGCAAAAAAAAAATTGAGAACATATAAGTATATCAAACAGAATTTAGGCCCTAAATCATATGTTATATCTCGCTTATCTGGTAGCCAGCAGTCTTAATTGCACAGTTAAGAGCCAATATTCTTTCACTGGCTATTGATGTTGGCAGATTCAACAATATAATAGAGGAAAAGAGACTGTGTGAGCTGTGTGATTTGGAAGAGTGGAGAGCGAGTCCCATTTTCTTTTCTACTGTATGATGACGATTTAAGTGTCTAAATTTTCCATGAAATGTCTCAGCAAAACCCTGCAATATTCTAGTGTGCAGATGATTAAAAATTTAAATGGTTGTTTAATTTTGATGTGTTTACATTTTTCTGGCTATATGGAATATTCAATTAGTATTTACTCAGATTTTTGCCAATGGTTTATGATTTTTTCTGAAGTGAAAGCCTGAAAATCTGATTTTGTGCTGTCTTGTATGGGCAGGACATTTAGATTTTTTTCTGTCACCTTGACATGGCAGGTCTAAATACTACAATACCACTGATCCTTGGCCACCGTTGCTATGGAGAAGTCGTCAGTCAGAGGCGGGGATCAGAGCAGTAGCCAGAACAAAACACAATGCTGCATTCATACTTTCATTCAATACTGCATTCATCGAAAATTTATCCAACTGAATTAAAAAGCAGATTATGTTTCAGTTTTCTCTACACTGTAATCTTCAGCCTCCACCTGCTTAATTTTAAGATCAAAGATTGAATGTTTCTTGCTGAAATATACCTTGGGAGTCTTGGTTAACTTCTCATCTTGAATATTTTTGTACACAGGCTTGTACCTTAAATTTTTTATAATAAAATTGTATTTTCTGCACTGATTATTTAACGGGGAGAATTTCATAACCATCCAACCTGTAGAAACACTCCAACTGTGAGTCACCTCACATTGTCTATGGAGAAAACAAAGAAGACTTTTACTTCTGGGACCAGAAGCACCTGAAATAGCTCTTCCCATTGTGTAACTCTTTTTGGACGTTCATGAGACAGATCAGGGCCATATATTCTAGTTGTTCTGGCACTAGTTATTTGAAAATGGTGTCACAGCAAACAATTCTCCAGTGATGAGCTACATCTCTTCAAAACCAGCCCAAGAGGCCTGTTAAAGTTCGCAACCAATTGGCAAATTTTAAAATCATCCTTGCAAGTAAATCAGTGCATTCTCAGCAAGATACAAGAGAAGAAACGCTTCCTGATAGCAATAGAAACAAGTGTGCACTTGCCTTCAATACTTCCTTTCTGCAACACCTAAAGCTCAGTTTGATTGGGTTCATGAATAGAGAAGATAATGATAAATTGCTTTTACAGAATGACTGTTTACAGAGAAGCTTAAGAGATTTGAATGGGCTGTTAAAATCCCTGGAGAGGCCATTAACTTGGTATAGCTGTGGAACAAAAGCTTACTGCAGAGTTCTGAAATATATCTAAAACACACAAAAAAAGCAGCATGCGTATGCATCCCTCCTTTACCTTCACCCCGTCCTCTCTTTTTCTATTGTTTCCTCTTTCTTTCTGTCTCCAGAGTCCAGTCCTCTCATCCTTTCCACTGCAAAGTTAAGAATTGTTGCTCTTCTCTTTATTACTTCTTCATGAACCATCCTTCTTACTTCGTCCCACTCTAACCCACTTAACTGCTATCTTCAGTCTTCAAAGTAAAAGCCAAGATGTTGACTTTTTACTCTTTCCTCATGGATCACCTGTTTCCCATCCCTCTTTTCCTCTGTCCATCTGCCGGATATTTCTTTTTTTTCGTGATCCACAGCAACATCAGGAGTGTTACTCCCATTATCAATCTCCGTTGATGAATCACCCTTCCGCAACTCTCTCTGGGTGCCACACACACAGGAAAAGGAAATCTTATTCCAACTGTGTGTGAGCTACATATGATGTGTGAGCTTTTCTATATTTTAAGACGAGGTGGGGTAAATCACATCCTGGCCATGCAGGGTTAGAAAAATATGATTTCCTCTGTTCCTGTGTGAAGCTGAGCTCAGACCCTTAACTATTCACTGCAGAGCCCCCTTAGTCTAACAGATATGATAATGCCATTATGTCAGTAGTTCATATCTGTCTTTTATATACAGAGTACACTGTTAAGGATGTAATCATATTTTAAAGGGGAAGTTTAGCTTTTGACTGGAGTGATATAAGTAATCTTTTTTGGGAACCTCTGAGGGCCAGTTGTTATTCTATCTCAAGTCAGAAACCACATTTTATAACGAATAAGACAAAATATACAGGCACGTTACTTTGTTATGAAGGAAACCACTGTTGGAACTGTCAGATAAAAGTTAAGGTCCAAAATATGTGTTTGATGTTTGGCAGTCATGTTGAAGTAAAATTCAGAATTTCTTTAGAAAACTATAACAAAAGGGTTAATCTGGTGAGGATGAAAATGTTGAGAGATAAAGTATTATATAGTTAATCTAAATTTATGAATAAGCAAGACAATTTCATGCTATCACATAGTGTTGGGTGAGCAAAGATGTACAAGATGAGGGGTGTGATGAATACAGTCTATTTATACTGAACAATTAGAACTGAAGTATTTTTTAAAATATGTCACACTGGTTGTCATTTAAACATTAATGTTTTTGCCAGTGCGAAGTAGTAGTTGGCAGAAAGTACATTTGAGTCTGATGGGAATGTCGTTAGATTTAAAGGTATTTAAAAGTACAGAATAGAAATTTTGACCTGATGAGGGCATTACTTGAAAAGTCAGAGAATCACTAAATTTCAATCTGAGCCGCAAATGTCACCCTACTGTTGGCGCAAGAAGAAAAGTCAGGGAATCACAAAAGTCATAAGGATTCATCCTCTGGGGACCATGAATGTCTATAGTAAATCTCTTGGCAACATGTCATGCCTTACTGCTTTGAGAAACATTGTTTCTTCCCCTCACCATGCAGCAGCATTCAGCCCTCTGAT